CCTTCTTTCTATACCATCCATCTTTTGGCTCTGCCATCTAATGAAGTACTGTCCTCATCTATGCAGAAGAAGCTCATTTTAAGCTGAAAGAATGAGAGGTTAGTCACATGGTCTCCCTTTGTTGCCTTAACCACATGTGACTTGGGCTCTCATTTGTAGTAACATAACTGTAATTTATTGAGTGCCAAGAATTGTGCTAAACTGTATTTACATTATTTCACTGAATGCCTGATAACTCTCAAAGATATTCTTTTAATCCTTCATATTTCTTTATGTATGTATGTATCATATGTATTAATATATATATCAGACCAGAATATTTCAAATAAAATGAGAATGAAAGGGGGAAAAAACTATAGTGATCATTTAGTCTTACAGAAGTCTTCTACTTCACTGATTTTTTAAAGCAAAGAAAGTGTTTCTTCCTCTTCTTATCTACATAAAACATTTAATATACGAGTTACTAGGCTGAAGTAGAACAGGCAATCAGAGCCAGGGAAATTTCAGAGCTAACTCCCTTGAAGGTCAAAGGTGCACAGAGCTCCATTCTGTGGTCCCTGTGCTCACCACACCCCCGTTATATGCACATACTCTCTAATGCTAAACATGCTCCAAGAGACTCTTGAGGACACTCAGTGGACATTCAGGCAGAACACAGCAACCAAGAAGGTTTGCGGTAAAATGTCTCAACATATCGGAATTTAGTAAAGACTAAAGCTTTGCTGCTAACCCTATTTCCATCCCAGCTTAGGTTTTCCCCAGATTTTGGAATTCAGCAAGTCAAATCTGTCTGCCTTGTTGTGAACCTCTGTTAGGAATGCCTGCTGTCTGCCCACCACTCTGCCTCTCACATCACAGACTGTGCCCAATTCCTGCACACGCTCCACAGTACTGCTGGCCTGGCAGGCCCTGGAGCTGTCTCTTCCTAACTCGGTCTCACCAGATGTTCCTGCTTGAAAAAAAGCTGAATCCTTTCTAATTTGAGCAGCAGCTGTAGTACTACCTGTGGGCAACGCCAAGGAGTCAGGAACGAAACGTGGATACCATCTGACCCGTAGTCTATGTGTCCTTCCTACTTTTCTCTTTTTCGTAGATTTGTAATTGGGCTTATTTTTTTCCCCTTTGCTAATTAACTAAATCAGACACTAACTTGCAATCAATTCACAAATCATGGAGTTATAAAATTAAGAAGTTGCTGAAGAGCTTTGAGACCATTGATCTGACACCTTCATTTGACAAAGATCGCCCAACCAGTCAGGAACATTCCTGGGAATTGTCAGATCCAAAGTCTGCTTTGGAATGAGACAGAATTTAAGACATCTTTCACCAGATGTTCCTGCTTGAAAAAAAGCTGAATCCTTTCTAATTTGAGCAGCAGCTGTAGTACTACCTGTGGGCAACGCCAAGGAGTCAGGAACGAAACGTGGATACCATCTGACCCGTAGTCTATGTGTCCTTCCTACTTTTCTCTTTTTCGTAGATTTGTAATTGGGCTTATTTTTTTCCCCTTTGCTAATTAACTAAATCAGACACTAACTTGCAATCAATTCACAAATCATGGAGTTATAAAATTAAGAAGTTGCTGAAGAGCTTTGAGACCATTGATCTGACACCTTCATTTATTTGACAAAGATCGCCCAACCAGTCAGGAACATTCCTGGGAATTGTCAGATCCAAAGTCTGCTTTGGAAGGAGACAGAATTTAAGACATCTTGGAAATCAAATTTATAAGTAATATCACCCTAATGAGCTAAGACACTGAACATAAACAAGAAGGAAAATGACTCCCTTCTAAGATTCTACTTGGGCAAAGGAGCAATGGTTGCCCCTAGTTGAGATAAGAAGTGCTGGGAAGAGCCGGGTTTTGAGAAGAAGGACATAAATTGATATTTTTATGCTGATGATATCTATAAAACATCTGCATGACATGGCCTAAAATTTTGTGTCTTATGAAAATAAGCCAGCTCTTGAAAAGTAACTCTACTAGAAAGGGCAAGAGCATTGCAACCATGGGAATTTATAGAAGCAAAGTATCAACAGTGCCTGGTACAATTCACATTCAAGGAGTCGATAGCAGTTCATTGACTGTGTTGACATGTGCACATGTTCAGTCATATCACTAGGACACATATAGCAGAGCAGTGAGGGATTAGGTTAATTTCAGTTGACTTTGAATGCTGGAATAGGACATTTGGCCTTTTCTCAAGAAAGGACCGCTACAGGTTCTAGTCCAAGGGTAGACATAAGAGCCTGGCTAATGTAGCCATAATATAGAAGCTGAACCGAAAGAGAGAAGCCAAGTGGAAGGCTTTGCATTAGCTTTTGTCAGTGCTAACGAGAACCTAAGCAGGGTAGTGGCAGGAGGAACAGAAATAAAGGAACAGATGGGAGAAGTACTTTGAAGAAGTTATTGCACAGCACAGTAACCACTCTGCATATCATTAAATATGTGTCAAGTTAATTTTGTAACTTCATTTGGCTCTGAAGGCTTCCTCTCTTCAGGTATGTAGAACCTTCATAATTTATTGGTCACCTGTTCACATATTTTTAATTAAGACTTATAATTTCCATGAAGAAGAGACTTTGACTGATTTGTTCCTTACAATTTCCACAATATTCATCAGAATGAGCCCTGACTATTCATTAAATAAGCAAATTCATGGGTACTGCCCTGCAAATGCATACATACTCATTTCTCAGGTATCCTCACCTCTGCACTCTACCTTGCCCCTGTCTGTCACCATCCCAACAAATACTCCTCTCCCTCTTTAGGCCGGGTCTTACCTTACAAGAGGAACTATATTGCTGAGCAGTCTGGCTTTGGTGAAACATTAGTGTGGTTTTTTTTTTCAGTAACTGTCTCATTATGTAAAATATTTAAAATCTGGTTCGAATCCATTTAAACCTCCAGTTTTATTCCTTTCCCTTTCACACCCCCCTCTTCCCCACACACACCCTGAGTTCTGTCTTCTCCTGAGGAACTGACCCCTCCCTCTTTTCTGATTCTTAATTATTTAGTAAGGGGACAAAACAAAAGACTAGGGAAGAGGCAAACTTGCTTATACTTAACTAGGTTCACTTTGCAGTTGTCTGGTGGGTATCCCTGATTCTTCAGCAGACATTGACCATTAGAAACCTCAGTGTGACAGAGGGACAGTAATTGCTCTTTCTGAGGAATCATGTGTGAATGTTTAGGGGCAACATGTGGAGATCCCATTACACAGTTCTCTGGGAAGGAACAATTGATTCTTCTCCAAATGAGTGATCAAGGCTTCTTAAGCTTGTCCAAAGTAGTCAGCTTCTTGGGTGGACTAACAAGACTTCTCTGCTTAGGCTGCTAATTTTAACTCCAGCGTTCCTCGTTTTCCTCTCTTGCCCTTTCTCCACTTATTCCATATGAGGAGTTCCTGGGGCTGGGGTGACTATTTAGGTTAGTTCATTGACTTGCTAACGAGACAGGGAGAATGCACCTGGCCCCTGTAATTCTGTAATCTGCCAAATATGAAAGTACTCAATACATTTGAGCCTCCACTTTGGGTTCTGGTCTCCAATTTTACCTACAACATTCACTTATTTGTACATGCCACTAAATTTCATTTTGGAAACCCTGAGTTATCATTTACATATGCAGGTACTGTAATAAATACCAAGTGCCACATGAACAGACATTTGTTGAATAGCTAAAATGGGTCAATCAGTAGAAAAGCAAAGTACAAATGTCTAATGCAAGTGAGACACTGGTGTAAATAATGAATTGCACTGTAACTTTGAAATGGTGACTATTTAAACCTGCAAATTCAAGTTAGATTGAGGAATGGAACAGCAGGAAAGAGAAAAGGAGAAAAGATGACTTTAAAACGAGAAGGTAAAAAGCATCTTGAAAATGCAAACTCTGCATACTGACAGAAAGCTTATCATGCTTAAGATTCAAATCTGAGTCCTGGGTGCCCAGAATAATCTTTTCCCTGCTCACAAGTCAGAATCATATAGATTTCCATTAATATTTATCTCCTTGAATTGGAACACAGAGGAAAGCCTGTTTTGCGTTTTGCAGTTTGGCTGTTCCCAGCAGGCATTTCACGGAGAGTTGACATCAGGTTGATGAGGGGGCAGTTATCCTGAATAACTCCAGTACTAGATCCCTGCTGTGGCATGCAAAGCAACATAAGTTTCAGAAGTGAGTCACATCAAAACGCAGGAACCACGAATTCAACTAAAATTTCAAATAAAGGCTGAAGGACTTAGAAGAATCTATATAAATTTTTCAACCCAGAAGTTCTTGCTTAAATTATTTTCACATCCCAATTTAAACTCAGAAACATTATGTTGCTGTCACACTTCTTTGTTCCCCTAATGTATTAAAAAAAAAATCTGTATATAGCTGACAAAAAATAGGAGCCTGTCTGTCAGCAAGTTCCCTATTCATGTCCAACATACTGTAGAGCTGAGGCAGAACACATGGTCTTAAAACACTCAAAGCCTCTTTTTAACTGGCTTACCACAGCAGTGTGTTTCTCCACCGTGTTTGCACTACCTACAATACATATCTTGCATAAGCATGAATTCCTTTGGAACATTTAAGTCATGCAGTATTTTCACACGCCTTGATGTTGTGCATATGAGAATTACCATCTCTATTTTGAAAACGCAGTCCCTTGTGCCTTCGGCATCAAATACCACTCAACTGACATCATTTGAAAATCCATCCAACAATGTGCCACTAAGGTCTATAACAGAAGCTTGACATATTTCATTCCCTCAAACACAGAGTTAATTTAGCAGCTAAATTGGACATTTCTGGGTGTATTTCCGAAAACTAATTCAGCGTGAAAATTACTAATGATTTAGAATTGTTCATAATTCATTTTTTTCCTTAGTTCCTTATCCAGAAATATCTGATGCTTCATATCAGTTAATTTGCAAGTGGCAAGATACATCCTGTTGTCGAAACACAAGGGAAACAGCTTCAGTGATTCCTAATGTGATGTTCTTAATTACAGATGAGGCCCATTGGTCATGATGGCTACCATCCCACCTCTGTAGCTGAGTGGTTGGATTCCATTGAGCTGGGCGACTACACCAAAGCCTTTCTCATTAATGGCTACACATCGATGGACCTTTTGAAAAAAATCTGGGAAGTTGAACTTATTAATGTAAGTTGGTTTCTTTCTGATACCATAGTTGTTCAGCCTTTCATAAATGAAATTTTCCTTCTTTATAACTGTGTGACCATCTAACCGGTATTTACAGAAATTATATGTATATCTCACACTCCAAACTCATTGCTTTTTGACATTTTGAAGTACAGAACTAAGACGCCTGGGCATTTTTACATTATCTAACAAAACCTCCCAAGAATTTTTGGGTTTTCCATTTTAGGAAATCTTGTCAGTTTAGGATATGGATGTCATAGCAAAATCAGCTCCCATTCTAATCTTTGCCCCTCTTCACCATTAAAAGTCAAAAGTTATCACTTTTTAATTTCTAAATCACATTTGTTTTTATTCTCTGTCGTGTTTCCTTATCTTGGTTCCTTAATTAGACGTAAAACCCCATGCTTGAAGGGACTGCTTTTGCTCTTGCTAAATAGGCTACTGTGATCATCAAAATGTTATCTTCTGGAGCTGGCGTCCGATCGTATGTTGTCTCTGTTTTATTCATACACTTGGCATAAATTTTCTATAAAAGCTGGCCAACATATGCTGCCATATATTCAAACGCAAAGAGATCAACTGAATCTTTGTGATTCTCACGTGCTCCTCGCTTCCTCTTTAATCTTTTTTTCCAATGCGGTGAGTGGAGGAATGAGATGAAAAAATAACAGAAAACAATCAGGCTTTGGAATTATATTCTGTATTTTTAAATGTTTAAGAAGTAACAGAGAGTGATGGCTCTTTTAGAGTTGTTTTAGATTTATATTCTAATGATTGGGGGAAGGGAGGCATCCATAAAGTGAAGGATAAAGCAAATAAGTATCTCTGGTTCTAAAGAGCTCAGTTCTGCTTTCTCACCAAAAAGTCCAGTTTCTACATGTTATATTACATAATTATTTTAAATGATGGTTATTACTATTATCTTATCATTCTTTGCTTTTAAAAATCTATCTTAAAAATACTAGAACATCTTACAGAAATTGTTCTTGAGTCTGAAAATCATATTGATAAGATTCCTGACTTCTGGCCTGCCTTTAGTAAATTTCTTAACTTTTTGCTTCTTATTCCCTCACGAAGTTACAATTACCAGAAAAAAGTCACTGTCTGAAGCTCTGGTTGTCATCATTCTTAAGTCTGTGTGGTAGAAGATTGAACTGTGGTTGTGCCAGGCAAAGATTCCACTTCTCTGCCAGACTTGACAGTCATCTCATGGCCACTCGTAGGCACTTGTTAATGAAAGCACCTTCCATAGATCAGCCAACAGCTTTCCAAGTTGAGATGCATTCTGGTTAATGATATAACTTGAAAAATAGCACTATGTAATACCTTCTGAATACAGTTGTTCTTTAATAAAGAGTTGACATGAGGTAGCATGTGAGTCATTCACCTGACTAGCATAAGCAGTACTTCCCGGTGAAAAGGACGGATTCTGGTAGTACTCTATAATAACAATTTTTCACTGAAGACTGATCAAATGCAACTATCCAATCTAGTGTTTAAAATTCAGGCCTGAACCCAGCCTTCTCAGATCTGAAGGTACCAGTGGCCTACAGACCCCTACAAAAAGGCAGTAAGGACAGCTCGGTGAACACACAGTGCTGCTGGAAGGCCCCTAGGTTTGCTCTCAGGGCTTAGAGACAAATCACAAACAGCTTTGAGTTCAGACAGAAAAATGGCCTTTTCTATATATGTTGGTTCTTTAAGGGTTTTCATTTTAGCTACACTTACTAAAATATAATCTGGCTTGAGAAATCCAAAGAGAAGTTCAGTTCAGAAATCCAGTTAGAAGCATTGTTTCAAAATCTGAAAGCATAGTCACTGTGTTTCAGACCTTGACACCAATCTTGTCTGGCCTGAAATATACGAATATCGAGTACTGACACAGTGTATTTCCCTTAAAGTAGACTGATTCAATTTAAACTCCTGTGGCATCTATGTGGTCAACTTCACCCTCTAAATGGTGAGACTTTGAAAGTAATTTAACTCAGTAGACAAGCTTATTATGGACAAAAACTGATCTAAGCCTGTAGAATTGGAATTAGAAAACAAAGCTTTATACCCCTGAGCTAGGCATTTTATTTGATAGGCTTGGGGTTGTTGAGTGCTTAAATGAGAAAATGATAATGTGTGCCTTCTGGCTTATAGAGCTTTTGAATGATCTCAGATTCAAGACTGCCTTCAAGACAAAAGGCAAAGCCGTGACTTGTTTATCTGAAAGGTATGAGGTACTGCCTTATACAATATATGGACCAACTAATAGAGTCCTAAGTGCCCATAATTCATTGTGTTCTGCCTGATAAAGGGAAAGCACAGACATCTTGATCTAGAGTGAAGGAATTTATGGAAGTTCCTAACCTGGATCACTGTAGAGTGGCTGGTTGCCATCCTAGATCACTATAGAGTGGCAGATTCTCATCCTGGGTCACTGTAGAGAACATGGTTCTCATCCTGGATCACTCTGAACAACCTGATTCCCATCAAGATCACTGTAGAAGAGCTCGTTCTTATCCTGGATCACTCTAGAATGGATGGTTCCCATCCTGGGTCAAGAGCCTGGTTTCTATCCTGGATTTCTATAGTGAGTCACTACTTTTAAGGGAGCCAGGCCTCTCTAGTGGCTGTTGCTCCCTGTAAAGACAGCAGAGCAAGTGCTGACTGGCTGACAGGAAGAATGGCTGGTAGTGGGAGAGAAGATAGGACGAGGAGACTGCTGCTGGCATGACTGTAAATAACTTCAGCCTCATTCGATAGTATTGATGAAGCACCAGGTGTATATGTTGTTACACTTGCTATTAAATAGATGCAAATATATTCTCATGAGTATAATAAGCTTATGCCAAGTGTTTCTAGGAGGAAATGAAAACTGTACAAATTTGTGACTTGAAAAATCTAGAGACATATAGATACATATGGCCCTTAAAGACCTTTTCTTTGTAGTATATAATAATTTTTAAATCAAGGCTATTTGAATAAACAAATATGGGTTTTGGACACAGAGCTACCCAAAATGTTGAAAGGAGAAAGAGGAATGGAAATCTTCTCAGCACAAGAAACCTTCAAGGCAGGAAGCAGTGCCTGTTTTGAAGGCCCCAATGTGTCTCAAATTAGAGCATGAAGGATAGGCCAACCATCGATCCTTTAATCCCTTAATCTGATCTTCATATTCAAATACTGATGTTTATTGATAGCTGCTTTGCTCTTGTGCCTGCCGCGATCAATAATAATTCCACACACCTACCTTTCTATCGACGTTTTCATGTTAAAATAGGAATACACTGGGAGAAACTGTCAGGCACATTGTTCCCTCTGCAAATACTAGCTGGGTGAATCTGCATTTCAAGTTATCATCCCTCCAAAGGCTTGTTGAGGGAATTAATGACTAGTTAGCAGTTCAAAGATATGTTCATTATTTTTTCCTCCCAGAGGTTACTCAGACCTGGCATATGGTGTTAGCAAGTCTGTCCAACACTGCTGCTCACAACCTTAACATCCATGCATGGCAGAAATTTTAGAAAGAAGGTAATGTATTTTCTACATGAAATGTGTATTTGTTAATTATGAACTTAAAAATAATCAGCTAATGCCCTTGCAAATAACCTCTTATTCATTTTCTAGACAAAAAGTATAGCAATTGTGAAAAGCAATGTTAATTTCTTTCATCATTGCCTATCTACAAAAGGGACTTGATAATACCAAAATAACTTTGAACCCTGTCCAGTTTATTAACGTGTGAATCTCAGGGAAGAACCTATGATTAATTTATTCCCATCAGCTTTACTATTTATTTACCAAAGAAATCATTCTGCCCTGGGCTTAGTGCAGTACTGATAATGATAAAAGTTCCTTTTGAATAGACAAAAAAAACAGTTATAAGTTTCAGTGTATTCTTAAATCCCTGCACATAAGTCTAGAATCACTTTTAAATATCTAACTGCAGTGTTTGGATTTTTAATACCCCTGAGTAGAAATTAATAAAGTAGGTAGGGGAACAGCACCCACAATATGTCCTATGAAAACTATTTCACATCTCCCATGGATGTAATTTGGAATTATTTTTGCAACAGGAAATTGATTAGTAGATCATTTGCTTCTTGTCTAATCACTGCTGAAACTGAACCTACATTCATTTAGGATTGTCATATTGCTTTGTTTTCTGGTTTTTTCTTTTTAAAAAAAATTTTTTCTGTGTATGAGTGTTTTGCTTGCATGCATGTAAGTGCACACATGTCGTGCAGTGCCTATGGAGGCCAAAAGAGGGTGTTAGAGCCCCTGGGACTGGAGTTACAGATAGTTGTTAACCACCGTGTGGGTGTTGGCAATTGAACCTAAGTCCTCTGCAAGAGCAGCCAGTGCTTTTAACCACTGAGCCATCTCTCTAGCCCCATGGGGTTTTTTTCTTGGTTCACTGTTAATGATTTAATATCTACCTTCCCAGGGAAATTCAATGATATTCTAAACACATGAAGGTGTGCTAAGAAAGTTTTCAAAGGAGACTTTCTAATTTTGCATTAATTTTGCATTTTTTGATAATATGACCTTATTTTCTTTAAATGCTGTAGGCATATCATCCTATGAGGAAGGATTTGCTTTAATGTTTTTATTTCATCAGCAGCATTATAAATTCACACTGTCTACCTTACTGTTGTTGCTATAACTTCAATTAAATATTCTCTCTTTTGTATGGTGTTGAATGTATATATGTGCACTTGAATGTGTGTGTGCACAAATATATGTGTTGTATAAAAACAAAGAAACATGCCTACAGCCCAGAAAACCAATCAGCAGATTCACAAATTGCAGGGGAGGAATGGAAGGGATGAATGTTCTAATTCCATTTCCAAACCAATTATTTTAAGTAAAAGGTTATGCCTTCACTACAGGACATTAATAAATGAGAAAATATTCATATTTCCACACCAGGGAGGCTATATAAGTCAATAGTTCAAATATTAGCAACTTAAATCAAAGCCAAAGGCTTTAACTAAATGAATAGATGTGAA